GGCCTACCGACGATACGTGCTTTTGGCGCTCAAAATATGCTACTGAGTGAGTTTGATAACTACCAAGACATTCACAGTTCCGGCTACTATATGTTTTTGGTAACAAGTCGCGCTTTTGGTTACTGGCTTGACTGTTTCTGCGTACTTTATATGGCCGTTACAACACTGAGCTTCTTTATATTGTCACCCGACAATGGCGGCGATGTTGGTTTAGCTGTAACTCAGGCCATGGGCCTAACAGGCATGGTTCAGTGGGGTATGCGACAATCCGCTGAACTCGAAAATGGCATGACCAGTGTCGAACGTTTAGTAGAGTATGACGAGCTTGAACCTGAGGGTGATTTGGAAAGCAAGCCAGGCAAAGCACCTCCAAAGACATGGCCTGAGCAGGGTAAAATCGTCTTTGACGAACTTAGTCTGCGCTATACCCCGGATCCAAAGTCTGATCGCGTGCTGAAATCGCTAAGCTTTAAAATACTGCCCACTGAAAAGGTGGGAATTGTGGGGCGGACTGGGGCAGGCAAATCGTCGCTCATAAATGCGCTCTTTCGACTGTCATTCAATGAGGGTTCTATCATCATAGATATGAGAAATACTGATGAGCTGGGCTTACACGATTTGCGTAGTAAAATCTCTATTATACCGCAAGAACCGGTGCTTTTCTCTGGTACAATGCGTTATAATCTAGATCCATTCGATGAATACGCTGATGCGAAATTATGGGCTGTGCTTGAGGAGGTAAGACTAAATATTCCTAAAATATATACGTAGATACAAAATGGAAAAGAAAGGAGGAAGGGAGCATTACAAATTTCATTTCACTCTCAGGTCGAACTAAAGAATGTTGTGGCAGAGCTCCCGAGTGGTTTGCAGAGCAAGATCTCAGAAGGTGGCAGCAATTTTAGCGTCGGTCAGCGCCAGTTAGTGTGCCTAGCACGTGCCATACTGCGTGAGAATAAAATTTTGGTGCTTGATGAGGCGACTGCAAATGTAGATCCACAAACCGATGCACTTATACAAATGACCATAAGAAATAAATTCAAATATTGCACGGTGCTCACTATAGCTCATCGCCTAAACACGGTTATGGACTCGGATAAGGTGCTGGTGATGGATGCTGGTCGAGCGGTGGAATTCG